GTCCTCCTGGGTGGTGAGAAAGCCAGGGAAGAAATGAAGTAAACAAATAAATAATCATAGAATTGGAAGAGACCTCGTCGGCCATCCAGTCCAAGAAACAGGGAAATCACATTCAAAGCACTCCTGACAGATGGCCACCTAGCCTCTGCTTAAAAGCCTCCACCACACCCCGGGACAGAGAGTTCCACTGCTGAACAGCTCTCACAGTTAGGAAATTGTTCCTAATGTTCGTTCAGGTGGAATCTCCTGTAGTTTGAAGCCACTGTTCTGTGTCCTAATCTCCAAGGCAGTAGAAAACACGCTTGCTCCCTCCTCCCTAAAGCTTTCCCTCACATCTTTGGAGAGTGACCATATATTCTATTATTGTTGTTCCACCTACACTGTTTTCCCCACCTTATTGAAAGTTTAACTCCATTGTTCAGCCCCCTACGAGCGCCTTCCCTACAAATTGCACTTTTCATTGCTATCTCATCCAGAGCTTTATCATTTTATGTCATACATCTGGCTCGCCCACTATGTTTGATTTTCTATTATGTTATTTTGTTTTCTATTATGTTATTTTATTTGATTGGCTTATTTTTACTGTGATGTTATTTTGTTGTTTATATTTTATGTTGCTGTAGTGTATTGCTGGGCCTGGCCTCCTGTAAGCCGTTCCGAGTCCCCTTTGGGGAGATGGTGGCGGGGTATAAATAAAGTTTATTATTATTGTTGTTATCTTTATACATGGCCATCAAGTCTTCTCTCAGCCTTCTCTTCTGAAGGCTAAACACGCCCGGCTTTTTAAGCCGCTCCTCATAGGGCTTGTACTCCAGACTCTTGATCATTCTAGTCGCCCTTTTCTGGACACATTTCAGCTTGTCAACATCTCCTTTATTATTTATTTATTATTATTTATGACATTTATATGCCGCCCTTCTCACCCAGAAGGGGACTCAGAGTGGCTTACAAGATATATATACATACAATACATTATATTATTATCATAGTACAATACCAGTATTAAATATTACTATATTGTACTATGCCACTATATTGTAGTATTATTAGTAATATTACATGTAATAAAAATATATAATTATAATACCTTATTAGTAGTAGTATTATATTGCATTACATTACTTTAAACTGTGATGCCCAGAATTGGACACATTATTTCTAACCAAGGCAGAATAGAGGGAAAGCATGAATTCCCTGGATCTAGACACTATACTCCTACTGACGTAGGCCATTGGCTTTCTTTGCCGCTGCATCACATTGCTGGCTCATGTTTAAGTTGTCGTCCACAAGGACTCCAAGATCTTTTCCACATGTACTGCTCTTGAGCCATGCGTCCCCCATTCTGTATCTTTGCATTTCATTTTTTCTAAGTGGAGTATCTTGCATTTGTCACTGTTGAACTTCATTTTGTTAGTTTTGGCCCATCTCTCGAATCTGTGGCCCTTGTGGTCTCCTCCAACTCTATGATTCTATGAGAGAGTTGAGTTCTTCGTGAAGCATATGATGTAGTTTGATGTAGTTTGGTTCTATCAAATGATGGATGATTTCAGCTAATAAACCAAAAAATAAAAAACTGCAATATCCAGTTATTTAACGAATCCACAAGGTGGTATATCCATATATTCCATTATAATACCTTATTACTAGTAGTATTATATTGCATTACATTACTTTAAACCGAGTTATTGACAACCTGGAATGTGTCCAGAGGAGGGTGACTAAAATGATCAAGGGTCTGGAGAACAAGCCCTATGAGGAGCATCTTAAGGAGCTGGGCATGTTTAGCCTGAAGAAGAGAAGGATGAGAGGAGATATGATAGCCATGTATAAATAAATATGTGAAGAAGCCACAGGGAAGAGGGAGCAAGCTTGTTTACTGCTTCCATGGAGATTAGGACACGAAACAATGGCTTCAAACTACAAGAAAGGAGATTCTATCTGAACATGGCACCACAAGATGCAGAGCCAACCTTCAGAAATGGGGCTACAAAGTGGAATCCTCGACATGCAAGTGTGGAGAGGAGCAAACCACTGACCACCTGCTGCAATGTAACCTGAGCCCTGCTACATGCACAATGGAGGACCTCCTTGCAGCAACACCAGAAGCACTCCAAGTGGACAGATACTGGTCAAAGGACATTTAATCAACTACCAAATTCACAAATTTTGTATTTTGTCTGTTTGTTTGCTTTGTTCTGTTAGAAATGTAATATAATTGACTGGTCACCCTGACACGACAAATACAAATAAATATCTGAACATGAGGAAGAACTTCCTGACTGTGAGAGCCATTCAGCAGTGGAACTCTCTGCCCCGGAGTGTGGTGGAGGCTCCTTCTTTGGAAGCTTTTAAACAGAGGCTGGATGGCCATCTGTCAGGGGTGATTTGAATGCAATATTCCCGCTTCTTGGCAGGGGGTTGGACTGGATGGCCCATGAGGTCTCTTCCAACTCTTTGATTCTATGATCCAGGTGTGCTTTGCTTAAGGCAGAATAGAGGATAGCATGACTTATTTTATTTATTTCGGTTACTTCTACCCCGCCCTTCTCACCCCGAAGGGGACTCAGGGCGGCTTACAAAGGCACAATTCGATGCCAGCATCACATAACAGTAGTAAAACAAACAGCATCAATTAACAGTTAAACAACCATCCCTGCATTACAACAATAAAACCAGTAAAACCAAATTACAACATTACAACAATAAAACCAGGAAAACCAATACAAACCCAATTACTCCTTGCTGACGGTCTCTCATAGTCCAAATTCCATTTCCACATTGTCAGTCCTGTCAGTCCTAATCGTCTGATTGTCCTTATCTAGTTGTGAGATTGCCCAAAGGCCTAGTCCCACAACCACGTCTTTACTTTCCTCCTGAAGGAGAGGAGGGATGTTGATGCCCCAATTTCCCCCGGGAGTGAGTTCCACAGGTGAGGGGCCACCACTGAGAAGGCCCTGCTCCTCGTCCCCACCAACCTTAGTTGTGATAGCAGTGGGGTCGAGAGCAGGGCCTCCCCAGATGATCTCAAACTCCGGGGTGGGACTTCTCTGGATAAATAAGTAAGTTTGCCCATGCCTGGGTTAGTTTGCACATGCCCCACAATCCCCAAACCCTCCTCTTCCTTCGTTTAGAAAAAAACAAAACAAAACCCCAAAGTTTTACTAATCCCCACTGGAAGCGGTGATCCTTCTCCAACACCACACCCCTCGCGCATGTGTTTCCAGTGTCAGCGCTTGAGCAGGTAATGTAACACAAAAGCCCCCCTTACGAAGAGCGGGGTGAGCATCCGTTGCAAAACCCCGACCCCCATCTGCCTAAGAGAATCCAACAAAACTGGACAAGCAGATGCTCTCGTTACATCCCCAGAGACTGCCGTTAACATGACGTCAAAACCCGACCGAATCAGCTCAATTTTATCCGCGAAGAATCGAGCAAATGCTTCACAGTGAGCCATATTTACCATATTATATGGTAAATTTGTGTATTGCATAGTGTATATTGTATTGTATTTTGTGAATTGTTAGGCATCGAATTGTGCCTTTTTGTAAGCCGCCCTGAGTCCCCCCTAGGGGGTTGAGAAGGGTGGGGTAGAAGCACTCCAAATAAATAATAATAATAATTTCCTGACTGTGAGAGCCGTTCAGCAGTGGAACTCTCTGCCCCGGAGTGTGGTGGAGGCTCCTTCTTTGGAAGCTTTTAAACAGAGGCTGGATGGCCATCTGTCAGGGGTGATTTGAATGCAATATTCCTGCTTCTTGGCAGAATGGGGTTGGACTGGATGGCCCATGAGGTCTCTTCCAACTCTTTGATTCTATGATCCAGGTGTGCTCTGCTTAAGGCAGAATAGAGGATATTTATTATTTATTTACTTTGCTTATATACCGCTGTATCTCAAGCCCGAAGGCGACTCACAGCGGTTCACAAACAGTAAAAACAGTAGAAACAGCAGTGGTTCCATACAACATATAACAATTGACTTAACACATTATCCATAAATTACCAATAAGCAATTACAATGCACAATTATTATGAAAAACAACTGTACCCAATCTTCTCATCATCCAAGCGTAGTCCAGGTTCGTCGTCCATTGTTCCATTCCTATATTCCATTACCAGATTGCACTAAATGCTAAGGATAGCATGACTTATTTTATTTTATTTATTTATTTCGGTTACTTCTACCCCGCCCTTCTCACCCCGAAGGGGACTCAGGGCGGCTTACAAAGGCATAATTCGATGCCAGCACCACATAACAGTAGTAAAACAAATAGCATCAATTAACAGTTAAACAACCATCCCTGCATTACAACAATAAAACCAGGAAAACCAATACAAACCCAATTACTCCTTGTTGACGGTCTCTCATAGTCCAAATTCCATTTCCACATTGTCAGTCCTGTCAGTCCTAATCGTCTGATTGTCCTTATCTAGTTGTGAGATTGCCCAAAGGCCTAGTCCCACAACCACGTCTTTACTTTCCTCCTGAAGGAGAGGAGGGATGTTGATGCCCCAATTTCCCCCGGGAGTGAGTTCCACAGGTGAGGGGCCACCACTGAGAAGGCCCTGCTCCTCGTCCCCACCCATCTTACTTGTGATAGCAGTGGGGTCGAGAGCAGGGCCTCCCAAGATGATCTCAAACTCCGGGGTGGGACTTCTCTGGATAAATAAGTAACTTTGCCTATGCCTGGGTTAGTTTGCACATGCCCCACAATCCCCTTCGTTGAGAAAAAAACCCCAAAGCTTTACTAATCCCCACGGGAAGCGGTGATCCTTCTCCTCCAACACCACACCCCTCTCGGATGTGTTTCCGGTGTCAGCGCTTGAGCAGGTGACGTAACACAAAAGCACCCCTTACCAAGAGTGGGGTGAGCGTCCCTTGTCAAACCCGGACCCTCATCTGCCTAAGAGGCGGGAGGGAGCCCAAGCAAGGCCCAGAAGGGAAGGCCGCCGCGCCTCCCTCTCCCTCCCTCAGCCTGGCTTCTCCCCCTCCCCGGCCTCACCTTGGCCACGTAGTCCTTCACCTCGTCCAGGTCTCCGTTCTTGAGGGCCCACATGAACTCCTTGTCAGACATGGCGGGGGGTGGGGCTGGAAGGGGATGCGGCTCAGGCTCAGAGGAGGAAGAGGAAGAGGAGGAAAGGCAGGCGGGGCCTAGGCTTCGCCGGAAAGGGGCGCGGTGGCGGTTTAGGCCTCTCTCGGCGCCTCCACGGGCGTGACTGCCTGCCAACGGCTCTTCCTCCTCAGGGAGTGGGGGAAGGGCCGAGAAACCCGACGCCCGGCATTAACCTCTTGCGTCCGCCTGTGGCGCGTGCCTGCCGACACTTCCAAGGGGCTTCCGTCCCTCGCCACAGAACTAATGCCACTTCCGCTCCGCGACTCGTTGGTGCCGCCCACGGAGAGAGAGAGAAAGAAAGAGAAGGGGGGGGGGGGAAGAAGTGAGGCAAGCGCGCGAGTCTGCGCATGCGCCGCGGAGTAAAGCACCTTCGTGTCCCCGCCCCACTTTTCATCCTCGTAAGGAGATAGAGAGCTTCTTTCATGGCGCATGCGTAGAGAGGAGCGTCAAGTCGCTCCTGGAAACCACACCGAGCCGGCGAAGGATTGTGCGCATGCGCTTACAAGAAGCGTGGCCTTCATGCTACAGCGGCCGATAGGAGTACGCATGCGCTTACAAGCGTGTGGGCTTGTTCATGCTACAGCGGTCGATAGGAGTACGCATGCGCAAATATCCAGGTTCTACTAGTGATAGGGACTGCATTGATTTGGGCTATCTTTCCCTTCATTGATGGTTTTACATTTCTTTAGGTCTGCTCATATGCCCTTCCACAAACACCACTATCACTTTTCGTCCATGTCCCAGCATTATTTCGAATTTTAACTCTACATTTGGCCTTCCCACTGTTTTTAATTGTGTGTTGTCTTATTAATAATGTTGTGTATTTTATTGTTTTTTAATTGCTTGTACTGTTGTTATTATTGCTTGTATTGTTGTGTTTGGGCTCGGCCTCATGTAAGCCGCACCGAGTCCCTTGGGGAAATGGTAGTGGGGTACAAATAAAGTTTATTATTATTATTATTATTATTATTATTATTATTATTATTTTAGATTAGACATGAGCAAACTTTGGCTCTCCCGTTGTTTTGGACTTCAATTACAGGCTGTTAGGAATTGTGGGAGTTGAAGTCCAAAACACCTGGAGGGCTGAAGTTTGCCCATGCCTGTTTTGAATAGTTTCCCATTCATTTAGAATGGGATCACATCTGGAATACTCTGGAATACATCCTGATGGTTTCAAAGGGACTTTCTGCTAGTAAAACATTTCAGAGTGCTGGCCATATTATTATTTATATCCTGCGTTGTGTCTCTATATGAAAACTCAAATAAGAATAATAATAATAATAAGAATTTTGGAGCATAATACTCCTGACCTCACAATCATGTTAAAAAACAAAGTGTGGATCGTTGATGTCGCAATCCCAGGTGACAGCAGGATTGCAGAGAAACAACTCGAAAAGCTGACACGATATGAGGATTTAAAAATCAAACTTCAAAGTCTCTGGCACAAACCAGTAAAGGTGGTCCCAGTGGTGATCGGCACACTGGGTGCAGTGCCTAAAGACCTTGGCCTGCACTTAAACACAATCGACGCTGACAAAATTACCATCTGCCAGCTGCAGAAGGCCACCTTACTGGAGTCCGCACACATTATTCGCCGATACATCACACAGTCCTAGACACTTGGGAAGTGTCTGATGTGTGATCCAATTCAACAGCAAGCAGAGTGTCTGCTGTGGACTCATCTTGTTGTGTTTCTAATCTTTATTTATACCCTGCCACCATCTCCTCAATGAGGACTTGGGGCGACTTGCATGAGGTCAAGCCCGGACAACATATTACAGCAAAATAAAACCAAAACATAAGCTACAAGCAACAGCATCAAAATTATATTAAAAAACATTTGAATACAGTAACAAAATAACATTACAATAAACACAATCACAGTGACAGTGGGTGGGCCACATGTGCAGAATAAAATGTTTAAAAAAACTCGAATGAGATAAGAATAGGAGCAAGTTATTTGCAGGGAGCTCATAAAGAAACACAGGGTTGTGAAACTAAACTTCCCATTTTGGGGGGTGGGCTCACAATCAAAAACATTACAGACAGGAATTCCAGACAGGAAAAAATCTGTGCCAGCTAACACCTTTCCCAGTGGCACAGTGGTTAAACCTCTGAGCTGCTGAACTTGTTGACTGAAAGGTTGCAAGTTTGAATTTGGGGTGCAGGGTGAGCTCCTGCTGTTAGCCTCAGCTTCTGTCAACCTAACAGGTCGAAAACATGCTCTTGTTAGACTACTGCAACGTGCTCTATGTGGGTTTGTCTCTCAAGATTGCTCGGAAGCTTCAGCTAGTCCAATGCTCAGCAGCCAGGCTACTTACAGGAGTGGGGTACAGGGAGCGCACAACGCCCTTGTTACACCAGCTCCATTGGCTGCCAATTAGCTTCCAAGCACAATTCAAAGTGCTGTTTTGGACCTATAAAGCCCTAAACAGTTCTGGTCCACTATACCTGTCCGAATGTATCTCTCCCTTTAATCAAGGGCTTTAATAATGATGATGGTGATTCGGGGTGGCTTACATGAAGCTAAGCCCAGTAGTACATTACAGCAAAATAAAAGCAGAACAACAGAACTAACATCACAGTAAAATAAATAAAACATAGAAATACAATAAAACAATGAAAAATAATACAATGAGAAATCAATCACAATGGGCGGGCCAAATGTTTGGTGGGGATGAGAGACAGGGCCTTCTCCGTAGTGGCCGCTCGGCTGTGGAACTCCATCCCTAAAGAGGTTAGATCTGCCCCCTCCCTCCTGACTTTTTGCAAGACACTTAAGACTTGGCTGTGGGAGCAAGCGTTCGCAGAATAGACTGTTTTTATTGGCTTAGGTGAGATTGTATGGACCACATTTTTTGGACTGATTTGGAGCATGTTTTAAATTTGGTGAACTGTTTTTAAATGTATATTTATTATCATTTTATGTAACTGTGCATTTTATGGATGTTTTTATATTGTTGGAAGCTGCCCTGAGTCCCTCTTCAGAGTTTGAGAGTAGGACGGGATACAAATGTTCTAAGTAAATAAATAAATAGATCAATAGGTACCGCTCCACTGGGAGGGTAACAGTGCTCCATGCAGTCATGTTGGCCACATGACCTTGGAGGTGTCTACGGACAATGCCGGCTCTTCGGCTTAAAATATGAATGAGCACCAAGCCCCAGAGTCGGACACGACTGGACTTAATGTCAGGGGGAAACCTTTACCTTAACACCTCCCAACAAAGGATTCTCTAGGCAGGAAGTAGCCAGGCTTTAAAGATGCCAGGCCATTCAATGTTAATCAAGGTGGCCAATTGCAACATTCACACTTGCCTCACTCAGACAAGAGTCCTTCTTCCACCCTAGACATTCCACAGATATATAAACCATACTTGCCTAGTTTCCAACAGACCTCACAACCTCTAAGGATGCCTGCCATAGATGTGGGCGAAATATCAGGAGTCCACCACATGTGGTAAAAAGACTCCATCTATTGCTTGCATTTCAAACATACATTAGAAGGACTTTTACGCATTTTGAATAATTTTTCTGGTGTCAAAAGCAGCAATACACCTTCCTATTAAATGTCTCTTTAACAACATAATGTAAAGCTATACGATCTTTCAACTACAATGTTGTATCCAAAATGTTATGTCCAATTTATCATTAATGCTTTCACCTGTTCTTCCATTTCAAGTTTTAACAAATGTTTATCCCGATTGCCTCCCTACATCTATTCTGGGAGGAATATTATAGGGGCAATATCATCAGCCACAACATCAGAACTACATTTCGTTTCTATTTCCCTCACATATATGCCACTCTATCCCAGTAACACTATGTAACAAAATTTGAAAAATAAATCTGTTCCTGGTTTGAAAGTGTTATTTCCTGTTTAATTGTGTGGTACTTACTTTAAAAGTAATTGTTACACACCATAAACTTAGTTTTGTGGCTGCCACAAACTATGTTGAATTGGTTGAAATTCTGAGCTATTCATTAAAAAATTAAATGTACTTGAGGATGTCCCACAAAAACAAATTTTTTGCAGTGCAATAAAATTTTCCCATATTTTTATTATAGAACCTATTAGGAAATGACATTTAGAACTTAGGAACAAAAAGTGTATTACCTAGAGTAATGGGCTCCTACTCTTTACTTTAGAGAAACGCAACAGTCTCTATGCAAAAGGATTAATGGACAGAAATCTGACTTTAGAAATGGCAATATCCCCAAACCAGTTGCAAAACATTTCAACCAATCTGGACATACGGTAAAGGATTTGCAGGTCACGGTCCTTGAACAAGGAAATTACGAAGGAAGACTGGAAAGAATTGTATTCGCAAATTGTATTCACAAATTCCAATTCATTTGCAGAGGCATGAACAAAGACAATGGCTTCATGGCACACTACAAATGTCCTCGCTTCTGCATATAGAACAAAAAGCATCTCCTCAGAGAGAATTTAAACTCAGGGAAACTTACGTTTGGTAAGGAAATTCATTGCTTGCACACATCAATACTAAATGACCATTGTACAGATCTGAAAGACCTGTAGCTTTTTGAAAATTTAGGGCAAAGAACACAATTTGCACCTTTCTCCTGTTACATTCTATCCCGCTCTCACAGCTCTTTAAATATGCTTTATACCTGAATCCTGTATATTACTTTGTATTGTATCTGAAGACATGGGTTTCTATCCACAAAATAAATCAGAAAGAAAGATATTGCTATATTCTATTTTCTTTTCTCCCTCTTCTCCTTATTTTTAATTCCTCTAATGTGAAGGTTAAAGCCTCAGTGGCACAGTAGGTTAAAGCGCTGAGCTGCTGAGCTTGTTGACCAAAAGGTCACAGGTTCGAATCCGGGGAGAGGCGTGACTTCTGCTGTCAGCCCCAGCTTCTGCCAACTTAACAGTTTGAAAATATGCAAATGTGAGTAGATCAATAGGTACCGCTCTGGCGGGAAGGTAACTGTGCTCCATGCAGTCATGCTGGCTCCATGACCTTGGAGGTGTTTACGGAGAACGCCGGCTCTTCGGCTTAGAAATGGAGATGAGCACCACACCCCAGAGTCGGACACGACTGGACTTAATGTCAGGGGAAAACCTTTACCTTTAATGTGGAGCTTTCCAAACATTTCATGCTGGTGACAAACATTTTTTTAATGATGAGCAGAGCACCTATAATTGCCAAGGATTTAATGCAGTTTGACATTACATTGTACTGATCTAAATATCTTTTTACAAAAGCAGGAAAAAGGCAATGTACATAGTTATGCTTATTACAGCTAATTCTTCGTTTCTA